GTAAGTATTGCCATTTTGGGCCTGAGTCTTCTTTAGCAACTTAACTCTAGTTAACTGTCACTGTTAGTGCACCACATTCCTTGGAATGTGGCAGTTCTGCAGTTGTAGGCCTTGTCCCCACTTCTCAATGTATAACCTTTTTCTCTCTCTTGAGTTATCTACCCATAAGGCATGTATAATCTAGTTCTTTTTCATGTTGTTTATTCAGTAGCCTCTCATGTTCCTTATTTTCTGTGCTTTCTCAGTGTGCTTGTTGGTTTCTCCTTCTCTTGGATTCACAGTGCATTCTGGCCACCAATAATCGTCTCTGGTTTCCTGAGCAAACAATGAAGTTTTATTCCTGTTTATCACAATAGGCATGATTATATTCTACCTGTGCTGTTGATATACACTTGTCTGATGATATGCACTGCTTGTGTGCAATAACATATGCCTGTGTTCTTGCTTCACTAGTAATCCTTGATCTCTATAGTCCTTCCTTGGTTTAACTATTAAGTTATTATCTAGGAGTGACCATTTGCTCCTAATCTTTTATGTATCTATCTCATTATGTCATCTGCCTATTGTCAATAGGCCCAAACTTAACTTTCTAATGATAACACACCCACCCGTTTTTTTTTTTATTTAATCCTCACCCTACAATATTTTTCCCACTGATTTTTAAAAAGTGGGATGGATCTCTATAGTCCTTCCCTGGTTTAACTATTAAGTTATTATCTAGGAGTGACCATTTGCTCCTAATCTTTTATGTATCTATCTCATTATGTCATCTGCCTATTGTCAATAGGCCCAAACTTAACTTTCTAATGATAACACACCCACCCGTTTTTTTTTTTATTTAATCCTCACCCTACAATATTTTTCCCACTGATTTTTAAAAAGTGGGATGGAAGGAGGAGGGGGGAAGAGAGAGAGAAACATTGATGTGAGACACATCGATTAGTTGCCTCCTGCATGCCCGGGCTGGGGATGGAGCCTACAGCCAAAGTATGTGTCATTGACTGGGAATCGAACCAGCAACCCTACAGTCCACAGGCCAGCACTCTAACCACTGAGCAAAAAGGCTAGAGCGACACCACTCTTTTTTTAAGTTGTGTTAGCACTATACAATTTATCAATGCTTTAAAAAAAAAAAAAAACCCTATGTAGGCATTTGGCTGTGATACCCCATCTTACTCTCAAGCCTGACTTATTTCTCCTATCATCTTGAATTTCTTACTTATCATGGATTGTCATTCTTTGTATCTACTGTTATTATCTGGGTTAATATAATAACCTCTGGGTTGATTGGCTCAGAAAATGCAAACTTTCTTTCAGTCCTTTCATTATTCAAAGTCCAAACTCCAAAGATAAAGATGATGCATAGAAGAGCTCAGCCGATGTAGTTCAGTGGTTGAGCCAGAAAGTTGCGATTTTGATTTCTGGTCAGGGCACATGCCCAGGTGTGGGCTCAATCCCCAGTGTGGTGTGTACAGGAGGCAGCTGATCAATGGTTCTCTCTCTTCATTGATGTTTTTATCTCTCCCTCTCCATTCCTCTCTGAAATCAATATATATATATATATATATATATATATATATATATATATATATATATATATATAGATGTATAGAAG